CCGAAAAATTCTCACCGCAGTCTCTCCCCTCGGGGCGTAAAAAAATTCTCCCATTACCCGAGGGTTTGTTTTTTCAACTCGAAAATTAGGATCTCGAGATGTCCTAGACATTTTGCGTCTGAAATAAAAGAATTTCATTTGAATGCGCAATTAGGCAGAGCCCTCCCTCCATGAAACACTGAGGAGATAGGATAGACGAGTCCCCAAAGTGAGAGAGGAAAGATGAAGAGGAGAAAAAAGGAGACTCTTCTCGAGAGAAAAAAAAAAAGGTATCGTGAAAAACACAAGGCGTTAGGACAATAAAAAGAGCTATAATAATAAAGAGATGATTTGAATAATCCACAGCTATGCAAATAACCGTGAGATACAGAAGGGGTAGAGACACCAGGAGATGCTCACCTCCAGGGTTGTTTGTTACCCGCAATAACTGGACCCGGAGAGTATTTTTAATGTGTACATTTGCCCGCGATTTTCAAGAGTAGGATGAGTGATACTTGCCTCTATTCCTCTTATTCGTCATCCCCACTGCCTTTTGTTTATGAAGGGTGGATTTTTGGGCCACTGGTTAGGGACTTAAAGCCCGATGTACGAAATATTACGAGAAAAATTTTTATCACCATTTGCATTTTCTGGTTCAGCCCTTTGTGCAGGCATGAGACTGATCATATGCATGATCATTCCGTCTGTTTTGTGGGGGTCTTGAGGGCCCTTAATGGGCCCTGAATATATTGCCGCGATTAGGCGAGATTCCTCTACGGGATTTCTTGACGTCTTGATGACATCTCGAATACACAGAACGAAAAATTTATTTCAATCGAATATATTTGATACTTTAATTCAAGTATAATTATTACTTTAATTACTCTAATCAAGTGTATTTTGTCGGCTTCGCCTCGCATTGTAAACTCACAATTGCCAGAAATATTCCTAACGGCCTAGTGACGAAATATACTATACCATGTGGAATTATTGTAAATTATTTAATCTGAGGAAATCCCGAATTTGGAAAATGCAGAAAATCATAGAGTTCAAACAAAATCATGGACAGGCAAAAAATCAAATTAATGAATATATTTACCCTACAGAAATATCTTGTCGAAAGAAATATCTTTCTCCCTGCAATAGTACATCGAGTAAATATTACAAAATTTTACTGAATTATTCTTATAATTATTTATTCTTATAAGGGCGTGTAAAGAAAAAAAATCACTTGACTCCAGTAAATTTTATACGTACAATGAGGATATCGCTATAATTTATTTTACTTCTCAGTTCAAAGTTCTTGACATACGACATTTAATAGCATGAGATTAAATACGATAGCATCATTAAATGCTCGCACATGAAAAAATCAAAAATTCGTGGACAGATCATAAAGAAAAACAAATTATAGGAAAATTCACCCTGGCGTCATAGAAATAAATATGAGTCGAGCCACAATAATAATACGAGAATAACTCCCTTTTGGTACGATTTATTATACTTTTCTAACATCTGATTCTAAAATTGTTTAATTCTTATTAAAAGTCAGAGTAAAAATATGAAGAGTCAGAATTATTCTAGAATTACTAAACATTTTGATAAATTTAGTTGAATTAAATTAAATTGAACTTCTGTCGACTCAGTGTTATGACAAACGAATCTAGGTCATCATTTTCTTTATAAAATTTTCCTAAGTTTTTCATCAATAGATTCAGCATTTTTCTTTTAGAATATCTTAGACATCTCCGTGTGTATCATCTTGTCGATCTGTATCCAAACTCCGACTGCTCTTTAACTCCCGAAAAAAAGTCGTTACTATCGGTGAGAAATAGTTGTAATACTACTGTTTACTCAGCGGGTGGTCTCCACCGAACTAGTCTTAAGAGCGAACTAGGCATAAAAAAATGGAGAAGCACAACCCTTTCTAGGATTTTTTACGCATCTACGGTCATAATCCCTTAAAACGCTTAAGAGTATTTAGGATAATTTCAAAACCCCATTTCTCTTTCACCGTGGCCCAAGGAATACCATATGAGTACGAAACCAGTGCAACATCACAGGTGATACGTAAAAAGAAAAAGAATGCAAAAATGCAAAATACTGTGTACAGATACCACTCAGGGGTGTGAGAAGGTTCTTAGCGTTGAAAAACTACCCCTCGGTGAGATTATGCTAACTAAATGGAACTACTTCACTGGGACAGGGTCGCATTTTTTTTTTCTTTCACCTTCGGATCAAGAAATTCACATTTTTTGGTTCAAAAATTGTAACTGGAGTATGCAAAAATCATATCCCCCAATTTCATTCAGAAAAATTAAAATAATCGTTCCGGGTGTCCCATGGAGGGGGTAGTCCCTCCCCTCAGATTTTTTACGTCATTTTTTTTTCTCTACACACCGTGATCAATTTTTTTTCCCTAGGCCACCCTTTTTTTTTTCTACGCTCATTTCACTGGTCCGCGGGCCCGGAGAAATGCAAATGCGGCCTAACGACAAAAATGTGCTTTTTTTT